TCGGCCGAATAACTCGGTTCATGAGAAGAGTACTCTGTTAAAATAAAGCATCACAGCTATAGACATAATAAAGTAAAATCAACAATATATTTAAAATATTCAAAAGAGATTTATTACTAGAAATTGTAGAGAATTGTAACAATTTCTAACAATTTAGTAATTTAAAAAGAAAGTTTACATTATTAATATTTAGGCAAGTTATGATGTAGGAATATTTACAAGGCTTTCTGCGCATTCAGGTAATAGTCTGTTCCTTTTTTCTTCATACACATTACCCGCTTCGGCAAATAACCGCTCGCTATACACAGTGCTTGCAGGTGCACATAAGAACACTCGTGCTAACTGTGCCAGTTATGGATATTTTGTTTTATGCTCTGCCCACCATTGGAAAGGACTCTGCTCTCGCGACAATAAACTTTCATTGACATATCGGCCTAATTCTAGAGCAACGGAGGTTTTTAGGATCATCGCGTTCCGGTTGTAATGAACCGAGTAATTCGGCTCGGCAAATGTTAAACCGAGTAATATTCGGTACTCGGTTAAACTTGTACTCGGCGTATCTCTATTTGAGACAAACGATGTACTGTAGCAGTGCGAACGATATAGGCAAACTATTATATTATATAACAATAAATATAAAACATTATGTATCTTTTTATTTAGTTAACGAGAACCGTGTTCTAGTTTTCGTAATGAAAACGCCAAAGATCTACAGTACTTCAGTACATCCGTTTAGCATATTTAAAAAAAGACATTATATGAAGTTAAGCAGCAAGGTACTTTTTAGCTATTAAAAAGTTACTTATTTAGGGTTGGTACCCTCAAGGACTTTCATTTTCTCCGTTTTGGCTTGGTATGTTGCCAGGATTTTTTGGTAAAGGACACGCTGGTGTTCTACCTAAATACATACCTCAATTATTGTAAGTCAATGCCTCAATTTCACTCGAGATGTGGGTTGTTTCTTGTTTGCATAACATGTCCAATTCTTATATGCTTTGATGGCATGCGTGTATTTTAAGTACAACGCCATCTGTTAGCGGCAATCAATATTATGTTAAATCAAGCGGAAAGTCCAACTACCACACTCTTACTGTGCATTGGGGCGTATGGCGCCACCGTATTGGAGAAATTATATTAGGCGCGTTATCGCTCACGGTCATTGACGCTTCTTAAGGACCATTGCAAAATAGTATTGTTTGCTGACACATCCTAGATTTTTAAAACAGACAGACGTGACAATGACCATATTAATGATACCCTCTTGGTAGTTTCATTGGTTTAATCCTAACAATTTATTGCTTAATGCCAAGAAGACAAAATGTGTTAAATTTGAATTACCTAACGTAAAATCGACTAGTCCAAGCATAGATATAAACGGAGAAAAATTAGACCTTGTTAATCATTGACTTACAAATGTAAGTCAATGTTGTTAATTAAGCAGTCTTCTTGGGTAGTAGTAACTCAGATAGTAAACTTCTATGGATTCGACATATATCATCCCTGACCAGCAGATTAAGCTCCGCTGCATAGGCAGTCAGCAGAATACGTGCGCTTACCGATGTTAGTACTGCTCTCTGTCTCATGTGGGGTAAAGCGGCAGATATTCAAACCATATTTCAATTGTCAAAACGAGCGATCCGTTCTGTGTACCGTCTAGGGTCTCGGGTTTCTCTCAGGGAAAAGTTTAAGGAGGCTGGTATCATGACCGAGGCATCACAGTAAATTTACTCAAATATTTTATATGCCCGTAAAAATATACATAATTTCAATAAGAAAGAAGATATCCATAATATTAACCTTAGAGCTAAGTCCAAACTCATTTTTTTTAAATTGTATTTATTACATTTAAAAGTATTAAAAAACAAAACATTTCGTTTAACCAAGGTAAATGACTCTTTTACGGGGAACTGTATACGTTTGTACAACAAACGTTTGTACAAGGTTCCGGAGCATATATTAAGATTTTCATTTCCTAAGTTTAAAACCTACATTAAAAATATTTTGATTAAAAAATCATATTACAAAATTGAAGACTACGTGTTAGATAAAGATGTATGGAAAGACGACACGGCTCCAGAATCCATACAAATTTGGTTCAAAGTGTATCCATAGCTTTTAAGTTTATTTGAAATGAGCAATCCCTAGAGTTTCTTGTTCGTCCTTCTCAGGGAAATCAGCGCAGTGAATGAGCAGTAGCTAAATGTAATGTAATGTAAATGTGACGTTTTCAAGTGTAAATTTATTTTACCTATGGAATAAATGATCTTTAACTTTGACGTTACATTTTCAAATAATATTTCTCAGAAAAATAAATATTTTCCGGATACTTTTCCAATATTTTTTCCTTATCGATGGAGATTAACGAACCTTTATTGTATTTACATACAAAAGCGAAAATAATGATTTTATTCAATTATAATATTGTATGCTCCACTTTTTTTTGATGCAGATTGTCTTGCAGTCAGGTGTTACACTCTTCTTAGACGTCTTTGCTCGCTCGTATCGGGCTAAGGTGAACACTGTGGAATACGTTGAAATTACATCTTTTAGACAACACAGGGAGTAAGCTAAATAGCTTATTCACTGTGTTATCTAAAATACTTGAAATTATGCTGGTCGATAGAACCTATTATTGAATCCACGAATCATTAAACTGAACAAAGAACATTTCTATACAGTAGGATATGCTGATGACATAGCTATACTGGTAACAGGAAATTATGCCAATGTACTCTGCGACATTACACAAGCTGCACTCCGGATTGTGGAAAGATGGTGCAGGGCATATGAACTGTCGGTAAACCCAACAAAGACGGAACTGGTAATGTTTACAAACAAAAGACTACTGGGTAACTACCTACTACCCAAACTGTTCAGTACAGAACTACAGATATCAACCGAAGTCAAGTACTTGGGAGTAATACTGGACAACAAGTTGAATTGGAACAAGCATCTGGACAACAAAATTAAAAAAGCCACCATCACCTTCTGGCAGTGCCATAGAATGGTAGGTAAACAATGGGGACTCTCACCCAAAATAACACTATGGCTCTACACAGCGGTGATAAGACCCATGATCAGTTACGGCGCGATAGTATGGTGGCCACGAACCAAACTGACGACCGCAACCGACAAGCTGGACAAATTCCAAAGACTGGCTTGCATGGCAACGACCGGCTGCATGAGGACAACTCCGACTGCGGCCCTCGAAGCGATGCTGGACCTGCGACCCCTCCCAATGTTCATCAGACAGGAAGCGGCGTCAACAGCAGTGCGTCTAAACAGAACCGGCCTTTGGAAGCACATGAGGACCCCACATACAGAAATCCTTCATAAGACAGTCAATGAGGAACCGCTACTGGAGGCGGCTGTGGATAGGATCCCAAAACAGTACATCTTTGACAAAAAATACAAGATACAATTGTTTGAAGATCCCAATGAAGGACTGAACCCCAGAGAGGTCCGCGTTTTCACCGATGGATCTAAAACAAGTTCAGGAACAGGTACTGGGGTATTCTCAGAAGACCTCAATATCAGGATATCAACACCGCTTGGTGACCACAACACAGTATTCCAGGCTGAATGTATGGGCATCAAGTTGGCGGCAGAAGCAATCATAGCGAGAAGAGTAAAGAACCACTCCATTCGAATACTCTCTGACAGTATGTCAGTACTTCAAGCACTGAACAGCTATGACATAAACTCAGGGCTCATTTATGAATGCCATCAAGCACTCATGGAGGTATGTATACAAAACCACTTAACTCTACAGTGGATTAAAGGACACAGCGGCTCACGTGGCAACGACGCAGCAGACGAACTAGCTAGAAAAGGGTCGGAGACGGATGCTGTAGGGCCAGAACCCATAGTGTCCCTCCCCAACCAATGGTCAAGAACAACTATACTCAAAGGTACAAAATATTCTCATAACAACATATGGACAACCCTTACGGTTTGTAGACAGGCGAGGGAAGCACTCCCAACGCTCAATGCCAGTCTATCACGAATATTAATTAAACTCAACAGGCAAGAGCTTCGCACTCTAACTGCCGCCCTAACAGGTCATGGTCCATACAATAAACACCTTTTCAATTTAGGTATCACAGACAGCCCTCTATGCAGAGCGTGCATGGAGGGGGAGGAAACGGCTGCGCACATCCTACTACAGTGCTCCGGCGTGGCCAACTACAGGGCAAAGTACCTTGGAGTGCCAAGGTCGCTCCCCGAAGTCTTCAGCAAACCGAGGAGGCTGCTGAGATTCCTGGAGGAGCTTGGGTGGCACGAGTAGGACCTGGTATGCAGGCCTGCTTTTCTAGCTCAAAAGGAAATACACCTCATACATTCTGTGTCATACTCAAATTGTACTTGGAAAATAGTTCTTTGTGCAATATGGAGAAGCAGTATGTCAGATTCACGATATTCAGGCAGGCGTGGCTTAGGGCTCAGTATACCCAATTTGTACACACTGTTTAGATCGGATCTACCGGAAACTAATGCAGTAGGTACACACGGCTACATATCGTCGGTGTTTTGTAGAAAGGGCGAAAACGCCATTTCGAATATTTTTTCTGGGACTATGTTTTAGTTTTTTACGTTTGTTTTGAAATATTTACGTCCTATGGTAAATTCAATTTTAAAACTTAAAGTTAAATAAAACCAAAATTGAATTTTAAAACAGTCGTTAAAAGCCAAAATATGCTGTCCTGATCCTGTAAAATTCTTGAAATGGCGCTTTCTATAAAACACGGACGATATGCAGACGATACCGTGTAGTACTTACCCGTGACATAAAACCTCAAGTTTCACGTGGAAGCTACAAGTTCAACTTAATAAACATACCCCAAACTAGACCTAGACCTTACCTATTTCTGCCGCCAAGTAGTAATGTCAGCGTTACTGCGTTACGGTTTCAAATTACATGCACATGGGAATGTGCATGTAATTTGAAATTCTCAGGGTGACGGGTGCAGTGGCAGTGCCCCTCAGATGTTTGCGATTTAAAGCTCTGAGTGGCACTGCAACTATTTGAACAGGCGTGTAGCTTACCATCAGGCGAACGACTTGTTCGTCTCGTCACTTGATATTATAAAAGAAACTCTAAAATCTGAACGTGTTACATTTATGTTTAGAAAACTGCCCTGAAGTAGAAATGGATAACCAGATCTTACCTCATGTTAATACTGTTAAGTATCTGGGAGTGTATCTGGCTAGAAGACTAACATGGAGAATTCACATCAAAGCAACTAAGCAATAAAATAAATATTTTGAACAACAAATTTTGTCTATTTGCTGTGGAGAATTGGTACATAGCCAATGTTATTAGTTATGAGAATAAACCACTGTTGTATAAGTTGGTCATGGTTGCTAAAATCGATATGAACATATGCATTGGAGTTGTGGGGATGTGCCAGCCACCTCTAGTGCGGAAATTATTGAACACTTCCAAAATGGTATTCTAAAGGCTATAGTCAAATCACCTTGATTTGTAAGAGCCCAGGAAATGTGTCTAAGACTAATAACTATCTTGAAAACCAAACAGGAGATACAGGAAACTCGTAAGGAAGAGTATAAATCACGACTATCACTATATACAAATGTATTGGAAAGATGTGGTTGACGAAAAGCATCTGGGTGGTTAGTCGTTTGGAAAAGTCAAGGATACTAGAAAGTGAAATCAGTGGAACATAATCAGTATAGAGTAATGACTAAGGAGGAAAAGAGTCATTGGACTCTATATTTCAAACTACATTATACTATATTTATTTTATTTATTTCATGTGCTGGTGAAATTACAGGCTTATGGGATTTGTCAACTTATGTCTCAGGGTGACGGGCGCAGTGGCAGTGCCCTTTAGTAGTAGATCTTTGCGTCTTAAAGCTCTGGCGCACGATTTGTTCGTCCCTTCATTTGATGATATAATGTTTAAGTTTAAGTCTTGTTAGGTGCTTTGGTTTGAGCTGTGAGTCCAAAAGAATGTTTTCTTTATGAAATAAATAAATGTAACGGATCTGTTTACGGCCGAAGGACTGGTCCTGCGACCAGGTTGTTACGAAATAACAAGAATGAATTGAGAAAACGTCCGACGGCTGCAGTGTTTGTTCACGAACGGGGCACTCGAGGTCAGTCGTTCGGCCGACGCGCACGACGCGCCCGACGACGGCCATCGGCAGGCGCGGGCGCCTCACTGGCGGGCCAGCATCGCGTACATGGCCAGCGCGGCCAGCCCCAGCAGCAGCGCGTGCGCCGCCCGCAGCGCCAGCAGCGCCCAGGCGCCCAGCGCCAGCAGCGCGGCCGCCGCGTCCTCCAGCAGCGCGCGGTAGGGCGCCAGCGCCAGCAGCGCCAGCACCAGCGGCGCCTGCGCGCGCGGCAGGTCCTTGCGCTGCGCCAGCCACACCAGCGCGGCCACGGCCGAGTGCTGCAGCAGCGCCACGTTGGACTCGGCGCACGCGCGCACGTAGCGCCACGAGAACTCCGAGCCGCGCGCGCCCACCCACAGCGCCACCGACCGCGTCACCAACACCTGCCGGCCGCCAGAGTGACAGCGGGCGCGCGACGCGCCCCCCCTGCCGCCGATGTGTTCGCTTCGGAGACTTCTACTTATGTCACTAGCAAAGTGTGGCAACAGGTCCCAATCTCGAGTTCTTAGGTTTTCGCGATTGTTACACGGAGGAAATGAAACTATTTTTCCGGATTTAAATCGCGTATATTTGTTTTCTCAAACAAATCGTGTTAACCGTGACCGTGGAACCTGTAGAGGGCCCGATACGTCGGTTTGTTTGAAAAAACAAATATACGCGATTTACATCCGGACAAACAGTTCATTTCATCTAGGCACTAATCTGTTCAGCAGTCTTGTGTTGTAAACGACAAATGTGACCAACTACCTAATTAAACATTAGTTTGTTATCATTTGTATATACGAACAGTGACCCCTTAGAATTAGTTACTCATCTTCTTAGAAAATTCTACCTCAAAATGAGTAGCAGTAGCTAACGCTTCCTATGACAATTTGTAATACCTACTATACAATTAACTTTTCATTCAAGAAAACCACAGCATTATGTCTGAACTGTGTTGGTACTAATTGTAATACAGCACAGCTCATGCAGCACAGCATGTCAAGTGTACGTAAGGCCTATCCGAGAAAATTAGAGGATTATGAAGAGATTAAAATATAAACTATACAATACTTAACATTGCAAATAAGTAGTTGTATATAGTATGTTGGATGTCAAGCCTTCAGTGGTGGTTCAGATAGGATTAGTTATCTTGAAATAATCTGTAACAGTATTATTTGCCTAACTGTTAAAACATTATGATTATTAATACAAAGATCGAACACTCAGAAAAAAATCCTTCGATCTGGCCGGATTCGAACCAGCGTCTTCTAGCATACCGTGGCAGACGCTATTCCAACTAAGTCACGGAATGAACCATCGGACCTCACGAATTTTTCTGTGCTTGTTGTCGTGTCTTTGTAGTTGGTTTTTCAACGACTTTTTAGTCGTCTATGAGAAATCTATGAAAGTTTTTGAAATGTCATTTGCCCTTTCATTTTAATTTATGCTTGCAGCACCTCATGTCTAAGTTAAGAAAAATGAGGAGCATACCTCAGCACTGGCCCATCCTATGGCAGCAGTGAGAATCTTTGCATGTCCTTTGCCAGGAACTGAGTTAAGGGCAAAGTATAAACCAAACAGGTCCGCAAAGTCCACGGTCGCTTTCAGGATCTCCTGTAATGTTTGTTAGACACAATTCAGTACTTTTTTTTAAAGTAACTCCCATCGCGGCATAAACTACGAAAGCCGTATATCCTGTAGTGGGTGAAGCCGGGCTGACAATTACGGACCCATATCCATGTATTCATAAATAATTTGGGGGTGCATGAAAGGAGCCTCAGTGCATGACATATAATTCCTTTCGTATATGTCTGGTGCATTCTGGGCCAAATTCTTTAGCAAATCTTTTCTCCACAATGGGAACCATTGCAGTGTATGCCATCAATACAATACAATAAATAATTTCGACTTATTTATATCATTGGGGATAGTGCAATTACGCGTAACTAGCGTACAACAACCAAATTAGCTTTATTTACTGGAGTCTAGTGTTATCAGTCCATAAATAACTGAAATTAATGCTTACTATGCAAAAATTTAAGTTGCAGCCATTGAAATAACAAAGTAATAACGTTTAAACCCACTCCTGTAAAATTTGATCACATAAAGATATGCGATTTTTACCAATGCTACATACCCGCCTTTGCACTATCCCTGACGATATTATACTAGTTGAGGGCTCATCTCATCTCTTTTCCTTGAGAATCTTTGTCCCAAAAGTAACTGCACACCTAGTTCACATTCAGATCAGGTAACATTGTTTGAAAAATTTCAATGTTTTATAGTCCAGATGTTTATTGTTATCATTGTTAAATGCCATTGTAATATTTAGGCCACCTTATATCATAGGTGAACCTAAATCTTATATTTCAAAATAAAAAATCAATACTTACTAAGAAGACATCGTAGTCGCCAGAAGTGTGACTGCCATCAGAGTCAGGAAAGAAAGTAGCTAAAAGTAGCATCTTGCATAGCTGCGTGAAGATATAAAGACCACCGGCATACACACATTTTGAGAACGTCGCGTACTCCGAGCTGAAATTATACTCGAGTATGATCTGAACTTAAATGAAAAAAATCGAGTACCTCGCAACTTCGCATTTAAAACATTTTGAAAATTTATGCTTCCACTATTGCATAGATATCGTTGGATTCCAGAATAAGCCCTAAAAGTTAATAACCTTAAAAGAACTACTTACATTCCAGAGAATTTATATGCCATGTGATAAGGCGCATAGACTAGCGCAAGGCAATTCCCAAAATGATATAGGGTCATTGTTATTCACGATTATTGCAATTAAAGTAGTCGCTAATTTAATTATTTTTCTGGAAACTAAACTAAAGAAATTTCGGAGAAATACATATATGTTTCAGTTTCTCTGTCTACGAGTTATCTGTGGTCTACGACGTCAATCTTATCAACGTACTGTCAAATTGGCTTCCTTTTACGCAGCATTGCTCGGGAAGTTTGATAAAAATTAATAATTTTTCCTTTTTCTTCACACATATTCTGTCCTGTTGTCTGTCAGAAATCTTAAATTGCGTGTAAAGGACCGTACAGCTGAGTTGTATGGCGGGTTATCGTTTTCCATTTACTTGTTTGAAATTAAATCTCTGAATTAGCTCTAATTAAGAGTTATGAGTGCTAGAAATGTTTATGTATGCGAAGGTGATTATTCTTATTTTATAGGATATTATGTGAATTCAGGTATAAATAATATATATTTTTCTCATTGCATAGTTTTCTAAGTTGCTTACTACAAATGTTCCTATGATTTCATAAATATAAAATCATAGGTAATGTGTAATGATACCTACTTATTACTATTATGATTTCCGTTGCAGTGTCAATAAGATCTTAGTGGGTTTTTTATAGTGAATGGTAATAAGAAAGGGATGCAAAATGATGGGGTGTTGATAAAAAAGGGGTAACTTATACAACCCTTTCGTTTTTTAGCACACGCGCAAAGGGGTACGGAGTAGTTGTCCAATAGCAGGGCAGGGCTGGTGGATTTTTGAATGTATTTGTGTAAAGTTTAGTCGGACACTGAGCGGTGGTTGCCTCGCTCTCCATCTCTGAGCAGTGCCCCTCAGGAGCTGCTACAAATCACCTGTCTGGGTCATTTAAATATGCCAGTGTGGTGTACGGTATCTAAACTTTGTTTTTATTAATTTAAATGTTTCAATTTTGGTATGCAAATGAGTTACAGTGCAATGAATCGAGGATTGCATTAATGGATTTTTAATATTGTCAAGGTAAGATTAAAAAGCTTTCATACACTTAAATAAAATATAAACAAAGCAAATGGGACTTAAGAATATTTTATGCAGTGTATTAAGCTAATACAACTTTTCTACTACCTCAATAAATGTGTGCATTCCAAACAAAATTTGGTGTTACTTTATACAAATTCTTTTAGGTCAGGTACCTTAGCACTTAGCAAACAATTGAAGAGAAACTATACTACATAGTTACCTGTAATTGAATATATTCATATTTAGTATAGTATTCATATTTAGTTAAATGTAGTATAGTAGGTATATATTATTACATATATTTAGAATGGTATTATATTAGTATATGGTATATATATTAGTATAGTATTATATATATTTAGAATTAAATGTAAAACTTTTTGCAAGCTATTGTGTGCAAGTGTGGTGTAATAATTGTTGGTAATTGTTTAAGTATAATAATCAAATAGAGATCTTTGATAACTAAATACATATTAAGCTAGATACATTCACATAATAAATAAATACACTATGTACCTAGTTACAATTAATTAGCAACAAAACAAGAACCTCCATAATAATGAGAGGTGTCTTATATAGGAGAGTACTATGTTATTATATACTTAATAATTAACGATGATTACATCCTTTGAGTGAGTTTCCACATCAAAGGACAATCAAATTTCTTAGATGTCATCTTCAAGATGCTGTTACTGCTGCCCCACACTCTGTCTATAAGCCAGTTCGTTTTTTGCGTAATACTGCGTTGAAACTGTCTGTGCCTGCCTCAACGAACATGCTCGAGGCACCTCAGATTCGTGGCAGCCGCAACAGCACCCTGAAGGCGTTGTTATATTGGATGCGCAGAGCATTGTATGCCCTTTGAGTGTATCTGACCCACAGACTTACCGAGTATAGAGAAGTGCAAAATCCCTTAAATAGCGTTATTTTAACTGTAGCTGTAGGTACATCGTGCAAACCTGCGAGCAAGCATGTTCGCCCGGACTGACAACGCTCTGCGTTCCCTCTCTATGTCTGCATCAGCTCTAAGGTCTTCGGTACGCAAATGTCTAAGATATTTGAACTAGTGCACTTTCCTAAGGGGAACACCATTAAGTACAATAGGTGGAAAAAAGAAAGGACATTTGTTTCCCGCCCTAAAGATCATGTACTCAGTTTTTTTGTTATTATAAGTTAACCCATGAGATGCCGCAAATGACTCGTATACGGCGAGTAGCTGTCGTAAAGCAGTGATTGATGGCGCCAGCAGCACCATCATCCGCGTAACTGATGCTGTTGACACATACACTATCAACAAAACAGCCAACACGCATGCCACTGAGTCCCTCAAAAAAGCAAGAGGAGAGCTCAACCCCCCCCTTGTCTCACTCCGCATTCCAACCTGCATGGAGCCGAATACTCCCCGCTCACTTCACTCGATTTTCCTGATTTAAGTACCAGTACCTAAATAACGAAATTAGCTCTGGCTGTAGTCCCGTATTTACCAGCTTCTTCCAGAGGATGTCGTAACAGACAGTGTCAAAAGCCTTAGTAAAGTCCATGAAACAGGCATAAATAGGCATCTCTCTATCTGATATTACTTGACAGTGTGCTTTAAACTAAGAATAGCAGTCTCTGTTGACAGTCCGGGCACAAACCCAAACTGTGCCTCATGAAGCTTAACATACTTCTTCAAATATGAATTGAGCACACTGTCAAATACCTTCGCTGTTATTGTGGCTAATGATGTATCATTAGGTCTAGGTCTAGGTAGGCCTGTAGGCCTATAATTGGATTTGTCTGGGACATCCCCTGTCTTATTCTTGACTATAGGCACCACCACCGTCTTTACCAAATCAGAAGGTAGGTACGAGTGACTTAGGCAGAGGTTATTGAGCATGGCGAGTATCCGCAGAAGATGCACGCCAGCGTGCCGAAGGTGTTCGAGACAGAGGCCATCATGACCTGGCGATTTACCTTTCGTCATTAGTTTTATCGCCATTTTGACGTCTTTGGCGAGAGTAACTATTTTAAGCCTCCCAATGGCCTCAGTGTCAAACCTCCTCTTCGGCGTTCCCAATGGTGACTGAACTTTATAATGCTGCAGAAACAAGTTAGCAACATCGCTAGGTATGGAACTACCATCGACACACACAGGAGCGCTTAGCTTAGCAATCAATTCAATGGTACACTTCTAAAATTAGAAAAATCCCGCTTAGAGTGAAATGACGCCATCAAATCCATTTTGATTTGGTCTTATTGATTTTGGCACCACTTCAGCTTTCCTTTAAAAATTTTGCGAGATTCTATCATATTAGTGTATACTGGACCACTTCATGGTTTACCAATCTATAACCAAGTGTTAAAATGCAACTTAGCACTCGCATGTGCCTCTCTGACATACTTGTTCCAGCCGACTACGACCTTAACACCTTTACGTTTATTATTTCCGTAAGTGGAACTCGCAGCTCGAGACATCACGTTAACTACATCATAGTACATTTTACTTATAATATTTCTGTGACGTAAATCAGAACTATCACAACACTTCATACATTGTAATGGAAAGTCTATATTTTTTAATTCGTTATCACAAAATTCACGATAAGCATTAGTCTGTTCTGCATTTCTTTGTCCCCACGATATTTTGTTAGGTATAAAATGTTGTAACATCGCCTTTTGCTTAATCACATCAAGATTACATCGCACTACTAGGGGGAAGTGGTCAGACCAGTATACGTCGTATTTTACATTTACATCAACTGTGCTGCAGCAGTGCTGCGCTCGTACAAACGCAATGGTCTAGCCACCTCCTGCATCCTTGCGCCTCGCTGATGAATGTATATGTACCTGAGGATAAGCTCAACTTGTCGACGACGTCCACACACGACCAGTCCTGAGCTAACGAAAATTCGATAAGTTCATATGAATCTAGCATTCGGATGTGCATTAAAATCACCAAGTATAAAAGCAGATTCTACGTCACTTTCTTCGATAATAGCATGCACCGTACTTAGGTAAATTGGGTTATATTGTCGACACAATCAATAGGCATATATATGCTAAAAATTAACACTGGCCGATCGTTCGTTGTAATAAGCACAGCTGATATAAGTGGATTAATACACTGAACTATTGAAACGTTTTGAAACATCGACTTACGCCAGAGGAGAGCAACTCCGCTGAATGGTCTCCCTTTGAGAATACCCCAACTCGTGTCCACTGCCGACACTCCAGTACTACCGAAGCCTTCATGTATCTTCGCCAAACACGGCAAGACGCACGGCAGTAACCACGTCTCCTGAAGAGCGATAACATACATAATTGCTTAATCCCAACGGAGTATTGTATTGTAGTAGAAATTGACGCAAAGAGTATGTCTTTTGCGGCACTAATTTCCGACGTAGTAAAAGCACTCAAGCATAATCTAACTAAACTTTAACATCCATTATATTAATTTTGTTTTGAATAAAATATAAAAGCTCATTTATAATTATATTGCACTTTGTACACTTCACTATATCAGTAGCCATATTCATTGCACCCGTCCACCAAGGCGTTCGCGCGAAGACTCCCCATTATTGACACGTGTAAAAATGTTGTATTCAAAATTCAAATTCTAAATTCAAAATAATTTTTATTTCATAGGTAAACACTTAGAATAATAACGCATAGAAATCTAGTCCGCACACGCTAAGTGAGACAAATTGAAGCGCTCCCAAAGGGCCTACACGAGCGGACGGGCCGTCAGTGCTCAAGGTCAACTTGCACCGCGAACAGCTCCAGAATTTTAGCTAAAAGTGACGAAATGTGCGGTAAATGAGTGTAAAAATACGTCCGACAAACATAAAATAGATACTAACATCACATTCCACAAGGAAGTAACGCGTTTCAACTTGTATTTTATATATATATTCACTAAAACCGAGAAATTGACCTACTACTAAAACTAGCCTACATGAATTTGCTTTTTGCCTCACTTGTGACAGTTCGTTTGATATGAAACTATCATTCTATGCGTTATTATTCTAAGGGAAAACATTATTACACTTGAAATCGTCACAAGCTCTACCGCTATTCGTAAGGCAGATTCCCCAGAGAAGAATGAGATACACATAAACATTTACAATATATATATATATTTAGTTTTGAAACATCAGAGATCGAGACTACCTCCATGAGCTAAATGGGTTACTACCACGGATTTTTGTCATCCAAGTACG